TTTTGCGAACGAAAAAAAGCAATCCGTTAAAAGAGGTTCTTGTTCTACTAGTGGGGGAACGTTCGTTTATGTGGAGGCTTGTAGGTACATCGGAATTCGGTCAGTGTAAAACGCAGACTATGGACTGCAGACTGAACACGGAGTGTAAAATACACACTGCAGACATTGTTACGACTGAATCGTGTTTCATCGAGAGCTAACCTTAAACAGGCAATCTGAAGAATATATTCAACCCCGGGGCAGATACAGAGAAGGGGTTTCGAGCCGGTTACGGACTGCCAAAGGCGGTCCCCTGCAGAGGAACCGGTGGCATTCTCCCCTAAAAAATTTTGAAATCGTGGTCCTTGGAAATGAGATTTCCGTTATTCTGAGGCTAAGTTAGCATATTATGCTTTATTATTATTATTATTATTATTATTATTATTATTATTATTATTATTATTATTNATTATTTTAATTTAGGGGGTTCGACCGAACCAGCCAAATCCTCCTAGGTCCTTCCCAGCTAGCCCGACTTATATTCAGTCTAACCCTAGAGCTATTCAGGTTAAACCAGGGTGCAGACTCTCACTTTTTTTAGCCTGAATAAGGTTGGTCTGTTTACTGTTGACACACGGTAACACTATAAAAAGTCTACAATCTGCATTTTACCCTCAGTCTGCATTTTAACACCTGGCCTGCAGTCTAAAGTCAAATATAGTATGCCTTTTTACAAAAAGCACCATTGTGAGAAAACACATGAAAACTGCATCATCCCTCCTCCCCCAACAGAAAGTTTAAGTCTTGTTCCAAGCAAATACTGCATGCCATCTCTCCTAGACACTTTTAAGGAGGAGGTTCAGTAGCCTACACCGCAACAAAATTCTACTGTTTCATATTGTGTTATTAATGGATTGGGCAAAAATTCGGTGTTTGGTCACAAATTACATAATAGTGATTTTCTTAATCAACTTAATAGCAGTGATATTTCCATAATGTCAGAAATCTGGGGCTCGGATGTGAATGAATTGCCCGGTTTTGA